CTAGTCTATAGTCTAGTCTATAGTCCTAGTCTATAGTCTAGTCTATAGTCTAGTCTATAGTCTAGTCTATAGTCTAGTCTATAGTCTAGTCTATAGTCTAGTCTATAGTCTAGTCTATAGTCTAGTCTATAGTCTAGTCTATAGTCTAGTCTATAGTCTAGTCTATAGTCTAGTCTATAGTCTAGTCTATAGTCTAGTCTATAGTCTAGTCTAGTCTAGTCTATAGTCTAGTCTATAGTCTAGTTCTATAGTCTAGTCTAGTCTAGTCTAGTCTAGGTCTTAGTAGTCTATAGTCTAGTCTATAGTCTAGTCTATAGTCTAGTCTATAGTAGTCTAGTCTATAGTCTAGTCTATAGTAGTCTAGTCCTATAGTCTAGTCTAAGTAGTCTAGTTTATATTCTAGTCTAGAGTCTAGTCTAGAGTCTAGTCTATAGTCTAGTCTATAGTCTAGTCTATAGTCTAGTCTATAGTCTAGTCTATAGTCTAGTCTATAGTCTAGTCTATAGTCTAGTCTATAGTCTAGTCTATAGTCTAGTCTATAGTCTAGTCTATAGTCTAGTCTATAGTCTAGTCTAGAGTAGTCTAGTCTATAGTCTAGTCTAGAGTCTAGTCTATAGTCTAGTCTATAGTCTAGTCTATAGTCTAGTCTATAGTCTAGTCTATGGTCTAGTCTATAGTCTAGTCTATAGTTTAGTCTATAGTCTAATCTATAGTCTAGTCTATAGTCTAGTCTATAGTCTAGTCTATAGTCTAGTCTAGTGTAGTCTAGTCTATAGTCTAGTCTATAGTCTAGTCTATAGTCTAGTCTGTAGTCTAGTCTATAGTCTAGTCTATAGTCTAGTCTATAGTCTAGTCTATAGTCTAGTCTATAGTCTAGTCTAGTCTAGTCTATAGTCTAGTCTATAGTCTAGTCTATAGTCTATAGTCTATAGTCTATAGTCTATAGTCTAGTCTATAGTCTAGTCTATAGTCTAGTCTATGTCTAGTCTATAGTCTAGTCTATAGTCTAGTCTATAGTCTAGTCTATAGTCTAGTCTATAGTCTAGTCATAGTCTAGTCTATAGTCTAGTCTATAGTCTAGTCTATAGTCTAGTCTATAGTCTAGTCTATAGTCTAGCTATAGTCTAGTCTATAGTCTAGTCTATAGTAGTCTAGTCTATAGGTCTAGTCTATAGTCTCGTCTATAGTCTAGTCTATAGTCTGGTCTATAGTCTAGTCTATAGTCTAGTCTATAGTCTGGTCTATAGTCTCGGTCTATAGTCTAGTCTAGTAGCTATAGTCTAGTCTATAGTCTAGTCTATAGTCTAGTCTATTCGTCTAGTCTATAGTCTAGTCTAGTCAGTAAGTCTAGTCTATAGTCTAGTCTATAGTCTAGTCTATAGTCTAGTCTATAGTCTAGTCTATAGTCTAGTCTATAGTCTAGTCTATAGTCTAGTCTATAGTCTAGTCTATAGTCTAGTCTATAGTCTAGTCTATAGTCTAGTCTATAGTCTAGTCTATAGTCTAGTCTATAGTCTAGTCTATAGTCTAGTCTATAGTCTAGTCTATAGTCTAGTCTATAGTCTAGTCTATAGTCTAGTCTATAGTCTAGTCTATAGTCTAGTCTATAGTCTAGTCTATAGTCTAGTCTATAGTCTAGTCTATAGTCTAGTCTATAGTCTAGTCTATAGTCTAGTCTATAGTCTAGTCTATAGTCTAGTCCTATAGTCTAGTCTATAGTCTAGTCTATAGTCTAGTCTATAGTCTAGTCTATAGTCTAGTCTATAGTCTAGTCTATAGTCTAGTCTATAGTCTAGTCTATAGTCTAGTCATAGTCTAGTCATAGTCTAGTCTATAGTCTAGTCATAGTCTAGTCTATAGTCTAGTCTATAGTCTAGTCATAGTCTAGTCATAGTCTAGTCATAGTCTAGTCATAGTCTAGTCATAGTCTAGTCATAGTCTAGTCATAGTCTAGTCTATAGTCTAGTCTATAGTCTAGTCTATAGTCTAGTCTATAGTCTAGTCTATAGTCTAGTCTATAGTCTAGTCTATAGTCTAGTCTATAGTCTAGTCTATAGTCTAGTCTATAGTCTAGTCTATAGTCTAGTCTATAGTCTAGTCTATAGTCTAGTCTATAGTCTAGTCTATAGTCTAGTCTATAGTCTAGTCTATAGTCTAGTCTATAGTCTAGTCTATAGTCTAGTCTATAGTCTAGTCATAGTCTAGTCATAGTCTAGTCATAGTCTAGTCATAGTCTAGTCATAGTCTAGTCATAGTCTAGTCATAGTCTAGTCATAGTCTAGTCTATAGTCTAGTCTATAGTCTAGTCTATAGTCTAGTCTATAGTCTAGTCTATAGTCTAGTCTATAGTCTAGTCTATAGTCTAGTCATAGTAGTCATAGTCTAGTCATAGTCATAGTCTAGTCATAGTCTAGTCATAGTCTAGTCATAGTCTAGTCATAGTCTAGTCATAGTCTAGTCATAGTCTAGTCATAGTCTAGTCATAGTCTAGTCATAGTCTAGTCATAGTCTAGTCATAGTCTAGTCATAGTCTAGTCATAGTCTAGTCATAGTCTAGTCATAGTCTAGTCATAGTCTAGTCATAGTCTAGTCATAGTCTAGTCATAGTCTAGTCATAGTCTAGTCATAGTCTAGTCATAGTCTAGTCATAGTCTAGTCATAGTCTAGTCATAGTCTAGTCATAGTCTAGTCATAGTCTAGTCATAGTCTAGTCATAGTCTAGTCATAGTCTAGTCATAGTCTTGTCATAGTCTAGTCATAGTCTAGTCATAGTCTAGTCATAGTCTAGTCATAGTCTAGTCATAGTCTAGTCATAGTCTAGTCATAGTCTAGTCATAGTCTAGTCATAGTCTAGTCATAGTCTAGTCATAGTCTAGTCATAGTCTAGTCATAGTCTAGTCATAGTCTAGTCATAGTCTAGTCATAGTCTAGTCATAGTCTAGTCATAGTCTAGTCCTAGTCTAGTCATAGTCCAGTCATAGTCCAGTCATAGTCTAGTCATAGTCTAGTCATAGTCTAGTCATAGTCTAGTCATAGTCTAGTCATAGTCTAGTCATAGTCTAGTCATAGTCTAGTCATAGTCTAGTCATAGTCTAGTCATAGTCTAGTCATAGTCTAGTCATAGTCTAGTCATAGTCTAGTCATAGTCTAGTCATAGTCTAGTCATAGTCAAGTCATAGTCTAGTCATAGTCTAGTCATAGTCAAGTCATAGTTTTGTCATAGCCTATTGAGTAGTCTGTTCTGTTGTCTACTTCATAGTATGGTGTAGTTATGAACCAGTTTATAGTCCACTCTTTGAACTATTCCGTCTAGTCTACAGTTAAATTTAACTCTAGTTTAATTAGCTAAACTCTTTAAATTATCCTTGACATATTTATAAATTATACAATACTAATACTGTCTGCCAGTAAATTTTAAAAATTTGATTAATGTTTTATATCAATTACATTAATTAAAGCAAAACTATTTATTGTACAAATTTATTTCACAACTTAATACAACAAATATTTTTGTAATAAATATTTTTGCAAAGATATTTTGTGTTGTTATTACATTTAATTCCCATTTAATTTTATTTATTTTACAAATTTATGCAAAATAGATAATTTAACAATGTGATAATAAATACAAACAAATTAATTAATGTAAATAAACAAACAGACGAACAAATAAACAAATATTTATTGTGAAGGTGTTTTTGATTTTTAATTTAAAACACTTGGGTTTTTGTTTAATTTAATAGTAATTAGTGGTAATGAATTGAATATAAAGGAGTTAAGAATGTTAAATTTTATATAATTTACAGTTTATTAATATTTAATTTAGTGGCGAAAAATTTTAAATAAAAATTTATTTAAAATTTCAAAAATTTATTAAATAAAATTTAGGAAAATTTAAAATTATGTAATTTTTTGTTATACAATAGAAAATGTTTGGAATATTTGTGGCAAAATTTTGAATTTTGTTAAATAGTTATTGATTTGGAATATTAAATTTTTTAATATTTATTTTAATTTTAGAGAATTTTAAAAAATATAAATTTTGTCCACTTAGGCGTATGATTAATATTAATTATGACTTTTTTGCTAAATTATGCGGTGGTTGCTATAGTTTTCTAGCGATTGCAAAAAATCTTTGATTATTTCAATTAAAACTTCAAGAAGCTTAAAATAAGTAAATAATTTTTCATATATTTTTTAAGTTAATACGAATCAATTTAGCCTAAAGTTGTATTAAACATTTTTTTTAACAAATTTTTTGTTTGTTTATTTTTCAGATTCCTTTAGAATTTTGTCTAGGTAAGTCATTTTATTATCTTTGTTAATAAATAAAATACACAGTTCTTAATTTCTACTCCTTAAAAAAGTATTATTTAAAATGTCTCTGTATATATGGCTCCCTAAGCGTATCGTGCCAAGAATTTCTTTATTTAACTTTCTTTTTGTTGTATATACAAAAAAAGTACTCTACGGCGCCAAAAACAATTCGTTCGAAAAAATGTTAAATAAACTGGAAACGAAACCTGTTTCGTGGGATTTTTTCTTACTAAAGCTGAGGCATTATATGGGACACTTAATAAAGTCAAAAAAAAAAAAAAGAAGCGAAAGAGTTTTATAAGAATAATAATAAACAAAAAACTGTACAAAAAAAATCCTATGAATAGTATGTGCTGCAAATCCAGCAATATAACATGTCTTTGGTGGCAGCAACTTCAGCTCCTACACATGCTAACTTTACACCAACAAAAGTATAAACTGCATGAGTGTGTTGGCTGCCAACTTGCTAAGAACTTGTCATGCAACATATTGTTGGCATTTTTATACTCTTTTGTATATTTTTTTACAATTTTGGCTAAAAACTGGCCAAAAAATGCAGGGACGTTAAGTTAAGGGGGCGAGATTTTTCATTGAAAAATATCTTAATAAAATAAAATATACCTTTTATACCATTTTTATACAATCAAAATATATTATTAATTATACAAAAGTTTTATACTTACTAGTTATTTATTAATATACGACATATACAACGATAGCATACCTGTAATGAAAGAAAAATATGAATTTTAGTGAACATTTTTTTAAATTAAAAATTTTAATAAAAAAATGCAAATTAATAGCCTACACTATGCTATAAATTAGACTAGAAACTATACAATTGACGAGACCATAAAATAGACTTGATTATAGTCTAGAATATAGTCTAGTCTACTAAAGATTAGACCATAGAATAGACTATAGAATATAGTCTAGTTTCTATAGACAATATAATATAGGTAATTGACTAAACTATAAACAAGACTATAGATTAGACTATAGAATATAGTCTAGTTTCTATAGACAATATAATATAGGTAATTGACTAAACTATAGACAAGACTATAGACTAGACTATCGACTATAGACTTGACCATAGACTAGACTTTCGACTAGATTATAGACTAGACTACGGAGTAGAATATAGACTAGACTATAGAAATTAACATAAAATGGACTATAAACTAGGCTATAGATTAGACTAAAGACTAGACAAAAGACTGGACTAAAGGCTAGACTAAAGCCTTGACTATAAACTAGACACTATAGAGTAGGCTAGACTAGAGGCAATACTATAGACTAGAATGTAGAATGGACTACAGACTACTATAAAATATACTCTAAACTAGACTATAGAATGGACTATATACTAGACTACAGGCTAGGCTATAGACTAGACTCTAGACTAGATTATACACTACAGATTAGACTATAGACTAGACTATCGACTAGACTATCGACTAGACTATAGGCTAGACTATAGAACAGACTATAGACTAGAATATCGACTAGACTATCGACTAGACTATAGACTAGACTATAGAACAGACTATAGACTAGACTATAGACTAGACTAGACTATAGACTAGACTATAGACTAGACTATAGACTAGACTATAGACTAGACTATCGACTAGACTATCGACAAGACTATAGACTAGACTATAGACTAGACTATAGACTAGACTATAGACTAGACTATAGACTAGACTATAGACTAGACTATAGACTAGACTATAGACTAGACTATAGACAAGACTATAGAATAGACTATAGACTAGACTATAGACTAGACTATAGACTAGACTATAGACTAGACCAACGGTTCCCAAATGGGGGTCCGCGGACCCCTAGTGGTCCGTAGTAAAATCCTAGGGGGTCCGCGAAGACGAACGAAAAAAACCATGAATAAACATGAATAAAAAACTGGTATTCCGGAGTATGAAGTTCAATTCAAAGACAAGCTTATTACAGATTTAAGTTTATCAAATTGTAAGCAAAAGTGTTCTCGTTTGAAAGGACTAAAATTATATATTTCCAAAATAGAGGTGACTCTTTATCCATCTCTTTATAAATATTCCAATCCGACGTGATACACAGATTTTAACTTGATTTTGTCGACCAATACATATTATTAAATTAACATCAGAAAATCCATAGCGTTTCGCGTAAATATGTAGCCAAAAGCCATGAAGTAAAATCATTCGTTGGTATTTTAAAATTCAAATTTAAGTTCCAAATTCACAGTACTTTAACAAAGAGTTCAAATCATATATTATGCGGATAACGCATTCCGCAACAACATAGAAGAAGTCCAACTTTCTTATATTATTTTCCCGAAAACTTACTCACTTACTCAGTTCACCCTTTGCAATCGCAACAAATTTTTGAAACGTGACTCCTTAAGCACATGTGACAATATTTGATAAAGAAACCTTTTTGCTACCTTGAAGAAAAATGAACATGAAAGATCTCACGATCATAAAATTAAACATCATGTTAACATATCAACAAAGAAGTCATTCTATCTTCAAAACATGCAATTGAAAACCTATCTGAAATATTATATATTCTCAATGTACGGGAAAAAAAATATGTATGGGGGTCCTCGAAATTAAATAAGTTCTTCAAGGGGTCCGCGAAGTAAAAATCTGTGGGAACCGCTGGACTAGACTATAGACTAGACTATAGACTAGACTATAGACTAGACTATAGACTAGACTATAGACTAGACTATAGACTAGACTATAGACTAGACTATAGACTAGACTATAGACTAGACTATAGACTAGACTATAGACTAGACTATAGACTAGACTATAGACTAGACTATAGACTAGACTATAGACTAGACTATAGACTAGACTATAGACTAGACTATAGACTAGACTATAGACTAGACTATAGACTAGACTACTAGACTAGACTAGACTATAGACTAGACTATAGACTAGACAAGACTATAGACTAGACTATAGACTAGACTATAGACTAGACTATAGACTAGACTATAGACTAGACTATAGACTAGACTATAGACTAGACTATAGACTAGACTATAGACTAGACTATAGACTAGACTATAGACTAGACTATAGACTAGACTATAGACTAGACTATAGACTAGACTATAGACTAGACTATAGACTAGACTATAGACTAGACTATAGACTAGACTATAGACTAGACTATAGACTAGACTATAGACTAGACTATAGACTAGACTATAGACTAGACTATAGACTAGACTATAGACTAGACTATAGACTAGACTATAGACTAGACTATAGACTAGACTATAGACTAGACTATAGACTAGACTATAGACTAGACTATAGACTAGACTATAGACTAGACTATAGACTAGACTATAGACTAGACTATAGACTAGACTATAGACTAAACTATAGACTAGACTATAGACTAAACTATAGACTAAACTATAGACTAGACTATAGACTAGACTATAGACTAGACTATAGACTAGAATATAGACTAAACTATAGAATAGACTATAGACTTGGATATAGACTAGACTATAGACTAGACTATAGAGTAGACTATAGACTATACTATAGACTAAACTATAGACTAGACTATAGACTAGACTAGACTAGACTATAGACTAAACTATAGACCAGACTATAGACTAGACTATAGACTAGACTATTGACTAGACTATAGACTAGACTATAGACTAGACTATAGACTAGACTAGACTATAGACTAGACTATAGACTAGACTATAGACTAGACTATAGACTAGACTATAGACTAGACTATAGACTAGACTATAGACTAGACTATAGACTAGACTATAGACTAGACTATAGACTAGACTATAGACTAGACTATAGACTAGACTGTAGACTAGACTGTAGACTAGACTATAGACTAGACTATAGACTAGACTATAGACTAGACTATACTAGACTATAGACTAGACTATAGACTAGACTATAGACTAGACTATAGACTAGACTATGGACTAGACTATAGACTAGACTATATACTAGACTATAGACTAGACTATAGATTAGACTATAGACTAGATTATAGACTAAACTATAGACTAGAATATAGACTAAACTATAGAATAGACTATAGACCTGGATATAGACTAGACTATAGACTAGACTATAGAGTAGACTATAGACTAAACTATAGACTAAACTATAGACTAGACTATAGACTAGACTAGACTAGACTATAGACTAAACTATAGACCAGACTATAGACTAGACTATAGACTAGACTATGACTAGACTATAGACTAGACTATAGACTAGACTATTGACTAGACTATAGACTAGACTATAGACTAGACTATAGACTAGACTAGACTATAGACTAGACTATAGACTAGACTATAGACTAGACTATAGACTAGACTATAGACTAGACTATAGAATAGACTATAGACTAGACTATAGACTAGACTATAGACTAGACTATAGACTAGACTATAGACTAGACTATAGACTAGACTATAGACTAGACTATAGACTAGACTATAGACTAGACTATAGGACTAGACTATAGACTAGACTATAGACTAGACTAGACTATAGACTAGACTATAGACTAGACTATAGACTAGACTATAGACTAGACTAGACTAGACTATAGACTAGACTATAGGACTAGACTATAGACTAGACTATAGACTATAGACTATAGACTAGACTATAGACTAGACTATAGACTAGACTATAGACTAGACTATAGACTAGACTATAGACTAGACTATAGACTAGACTATAGACTAGACTATAGACTAGACTATAGACTAGACTATAGACTAGACTATAGACTAGACTATAGACTAGACTATAGACTAGACTATAGACTAGACTATAGACTAGACTATAGACTAGACTATAGACTAGACTATAGACTAGACTATAGACTAGACTATAGACTAGACTATAGACTAGACTATAGACTAGACTATAGACTAGACTATAGACTAGACTATAGACTAGACTATAGACTAGACTATAGACTAGACTATAGACTAGACTATAGACTAGACTATAGACTAGACTATAGACTAGACTATAGACTAGACTATAGACTAGACTATAGACTAGACTAGACTATAGACTAGACTAGACTATAGACTAGACTAGACTATAGACTAGACTATAGACTAGACTATAGACTAGACTATAGACTAGACTATAGACTAGACTAGACTATACTATAGACTAGACTATAGACTAGACTATAGACTAGACTATAGACTAGACTATAGACTAGACTATAGACTAGACTAGTCCATAGACTGAACTATAGACTGGACTTTCTACAAGACTTTAAACTAAACTAAAAACTAGACTATAAGCGAGTCTATAGACCACACAATAGAGCAGACTTTCTAATTGATTATAGACTAGACTATGAACAAGACTAAATACTGTACTAAAGACTAGACTAAAGTCTAGACGAAAGACTATACTAATGGCTACCCATAAACTAGACTATAGTGTACACTATATATTAAAGTATAGAAATTACCATAGAATGTACAATAGATTAGACTATAGACTAGATAATAGACTAGACTAGAGACTAGACTGGAGACTAGACAATAGACTAGACCAGAAACTAGACTATAGACTTGAATATAAATTAGACTACAGACTAGACTATAAACTAGACTATTGAGTCTAATCAATAGATTATAGATTAGAGAGTAGACTATAGAATAGACTATAGCCT